CACACACACACACACACACACACACACACACACACACACACACACACACACATCATACACATCACACACACACACACACACACGATCAATCAAACCAAATCAATCAATCAATCAATCAATCAATCAAACTTTTTTTTTGTTGATTTGTTTTAAGTTCTTGCATCTTCATTTTTTTTAAACACCTAATTCCCCTACACAAAACCGAAAATCATTTCTAAAAAAAATACAGCATATCCCTCCCCTATATGTTTTTTTTTTTTCTTAACGTATTTTTTGGGGTAATTTTTTTTTTATAGAAAAAACGGCCGTGGACTGGGTCTCATCGGCCGCGGCCGCGGCCAACTTTTTCGGCCGCAGCGGCCGAATTGCCCGCGGCCTGGGCCGCGGGTGTCACATAGGTGTACGCCTCCTGACTGGTTGCCTCTGCCTTTACCAATTGGATTGGAAAGCGAAAGCTGAAGACAACAGGGTGCTGAAATCAGCAACGCAAAGGCACAAGCACGCTGCGAGAAGGCCAACACGCTAAGTTGTGTAACTCGGGATTGAATTATTAACTCTCACAAAAAATAGGAAGAAGATAACAAGAGCTTGTCATAGCCTGAGCTATGGAGATCAAGCCACCACTTGTATGAACAGCGGTAAGTCTGGCTTCCCTCTACTGGTTTCAGCTGGAGCGAGAATCCAGCCATATCAGAGGAGAGAGACGATTCCGCGGTGAAAGTAGCATAACTTGTGGAATAAAGACTAATGTAAGCCTCAGTAATTCCGGAAGGTTTCTCACGGGAAATCAGCCCCCACTTTGGTGAGTTCCACGTCAAGTCACAAGTTCTACCCCAAAAGGTCATGCCAATTTTCCGAAATTACCTGCAGAATTTCACGCTATTATTTCTATCTGACCTCTCAGAAATCAGAGTGTTCACCACAGTCTATCCTCCGAGGCTCACGGGTTTTCAGTAGGCCTATGATTTTATCCCCAGCATCCTAACTCTGTTTTGGATTTTACAAAAGCCTTCTGAATCAGAATGTTTTACACACAGCATCAATCATAGGTGTACCTGATATTTTCTACCACACTTCCAGTAGGCCATAGATCTCGAATCTCGGAAATCCAAAGTCCTTTGGTCCCTTGTGCCGCAGATTTTGCGAATTCCGTGTTTTTTTCTCTCTGTGATCTCTGGATTATTTCTGTCGAGCCATTTTACTTACCCTACCATCCACATCCACAGTATTTACTCCCCCACTCTTTCCAAGACGGAGCTCATCTCGGAATGAATTTCCCTAGGCATCTTTCAAAGTATTTCCCAGGGTACGTCTGCAACCTCAGGAGTCGTTTACATCTCAGGTCATCTGGTAAATCCTGTCCAGACAACAAGTGACGACCGCCTTTTTCAGCGAGATGGTTGAATACGATTCAAAATCTTGGATCGTTCTGAGGGTGAGAACTCCTTTCCAAAATTTCTGCAAAATGTGGACCATGTTTTGCCATCCGCAATCAGAGAAAAAAATAAAAAAATCCTTTTTTATTACTTTTTTTTTTTTTTTTTTTAAAGACTGCCGTTTTTTTTTCAGAATGCTGTTCCCTCTGAAGAAATGCACTATACCTTCGGAAGTGATCAACATAAGCATGGTGACTTTTCAACCTTATATAGATTTCCATGTATGCAGTGTCTTTTAGCCCGGAAGAGGTTCTATGGAAACACACACTCCACTGGCATGCAGGGAGGTGTATTGTACTGGCGTTCCCTCTGAAAAAACGCACAATAGCTTGGGAAGTAATCAACATAAGCATGGTGGTTTTTCAGCCTTATATAGGTTTTCATGTACGCAATCCATAGTGGAGATAGATTCTCTTCAAAGAATTACTGCCAAGAAGTGGCGGCCTCAATAGTATTATACACTTTTGAGATCGCTGGATTGTTATATATTACCTCATGCCTTTTTTTACATGGCTTGTCTCCAGCTGTCGACCTTCACAATTCGGTACGGGGTTAAAGAACAAAGAAGAAAGAAAAAGGAAAAAAAAAAGATGAAAAAGGAATGGAGGGGCGCGTGAGTAAAGCTACGTTCGAACACAAGCACAGAGAGAAGTGAGGTGAAGACAAGAAGTTAAACAAACCACTGCCGTACTTCCTATAGTCGTGCCCGATAACGAGCAACTATTTTAGGAAACGTACGCGCCACTGCACAAACGCCCAAATTCATCCGACTAGAAATGTTTCTACTCTAGTTTCTTTTTCCATTGCCGATAGCTGCGCCAAGTACAAAGCGAGGGGCAGGAAAAGCAGTCGAAAGCGGAACAGGCTCGGATGGCAGAATTCTCCTTCTGGAGAAACAACAACGATCATCGTTGAGGAGAGAAGAGCTAGAACAAGAGAGACACAAAACAACTCGAACATTATGAAACGCGTTGAATAACATTGTGGAGAGGACCATGCATGGATATGTGACTCATCATATGGCCAGAGACTGAACATTTCATACTTGGAAGTTTCATTGCAAAATTTACTACGATTTTTTAATTAAGGAATTGTAGAAATTACCCTCAGCCAAAGATCGTGGACACTTTTGTTCTATATTCCTATTTGGGGACTGCCAGGGGACTCGCCTAGACCATTGCTTGTTTTTTTTTCTGGGACTGCCAGAGGTCATTGCTTGCCACCTGGTTCTTCTCCCCACCATAACACATGTTTTGTGTACGAATGGAAGGCAACCTATGTGTGTTGTATTCGATTACAACGCATATGGGTTATGTTGTTCAGGGGAAAACGGTAGCACATTCATGTGGCTGGTAACCTTGCTTGGCACCCTCAAAACTTTCTCCCATGTGTCATGGCCACAGAGAGACTCGCGCAACAAAAGACGAACAGAACCCATTTGATGCAATCCAGGACAGCCTTTGTCACCGACCAGGCCCCGCGGGGGGTCATGTTGGTCACCCCACCAGCATGGCCAGGCAAGGGCTACAAAAGGCATTCACTTAGAATATATATATCATCAAACAGACCTGCCTATATATATATATATGTAGAATTTTCCATCTGGTGTGGGTGAGTGATAGTCTACTTTGATTTTGGTTAAGGTAGATTATCATTTACAGTGTAATCAGTGAGGGGATTCTGCACACTGTTGAGGGTTCAGCCTCCTGATGAGTCGGTCAAACTCCGACGAAACAATTTGTCACAGCCCCTCGTTTGTTATCCTCTTCTTTCTCTCTGCCTACGGTTTACCGGACAGTTCTATTTGTGACGATATATATATATCGTATATATACAGGGTAACCGGTGTTCGGGACGGGCCGAACGCCCGAACCCGAACGCCCGAATGTATGGGACCGCTTGGGGGTGCGTTCGGCCGCTCGAGCCGAACGCGGCCCCCCCCCCAAAAAAAAAAAAAAAAAGAGGTCATCAAAAACATCTGAAAAAATATATATGTTATGGAAAAAAATAAATTAAACAAGATTTGCTTGAGCATTACATCCGAATTACTTACCAATATTAAAATAAAAATAAACTACGAAAACCAAATGCTAATAATAAAAATAAATAAAAATAAAAAGAGAATTAAATTTAGTGAATGCACGAGCATGTTTTCAACACCTGCATCTTTGGCGATTTTTCATTTGTTTTTGGCATAGCTAAATGCCCTGAAAATTTACAGATGTGTACTTCACATAAAAAAGTTTCAAAAAATAATAAAATTGTTTAGATCCCGAACTAAAGTGAAAGCAAAAAGTAAAAAGTGAAAAAATGCGTGGGCGAGCACGTTTTGACACCGCCATCTTTGGCGATTTTTAATTTCTTATTTGGCTTGGCCAGATGACTTGAAAATTTACAGGCATGTACGTCACGTCATAGAGAACTCACAAAAAACAGTTCAAAAAAAACTAATTATTTTTAGACCCCAAAATATTTTTTGGCGGGGGCCGAATGCCGTCGGGTTCGGACCCCGTACGGGACCCCGAACGCCCGTACGTACGGAGGTCTGCTCGGGGACCTTCAATCGTACGGGTTGGTGACCCTGTATATATATATATATATCGCCACAAACAGAACTTCCCGGTAAACCGTAGGCAGAGAGAGAGAAGAGGACAACAAACGAGGGGCTGAGACAAACTGTTTCGTCGGAGTTTCACCGACCCATCAGGAGGCTGAACCCTCAATAGTCTGCAAAATCCCCTCACTGATTACACTGTAAATGATCATCTACCTTAACCAAAATCAAAGTAGACTATCACTCACCCACACCAGATGGAAAACTCTATAGACTGTCGGTTCACACCCCAACATATATATTTATATATACATATATATATATATATATATATATACACACACTCTAGTGCCAGCGGCGTGTCTGGAGTGTATTTTTTGGCTGTGACAAACCTTTCTCTGTTTCGTGGATGTTTTGCTGGCTTGTGATGTGGTGTGAACCGACAGTCTGTAGAGTTTTCCATCTGGTGTGGGTGAGTGATAGTCTACTTTGATTTTGGTTAAGGTAGATTATCATTTCCAGTGTAATCAGTGAGGGGATTTTGCAGACTGTTAAGGGTTCAGCCTCCTGATGAGCAAGTCAAAGTTATACATGTAAATAGTTACTATCTTTCAATAACAAGAAAAAATATATATATATTATATATATCGACCGTAGGCAGAGAGGGAGGAAGAGCAGGACAACAAACGAGGGGCTGTGACAAACTGTTTCGTCGGAGTTTCACCGACTCATCAGGAGGCTGAAGGCTCTCTTTATATATTGACAAACAGAGCTGCCCGGTAAGCCGTAGGCAGAGAGAGAGAAGAGGCCAACTGTTACATGCTGCGCCTGCACACGAGGGCCATTTTCCAGGCCCTGCGTCGTTCAGGCTAGAAGCCTGAATTTCAGGCTCAAGGCCTGGAAATAAGGACCTGCAGACCCCAGGACGGTTCAGCCCAAAAGCCAGACATCCGGGGCCCACAGGACCTGCATTGTTTTAGCCAAAAAAAGGCCTGAGCCTTTTCAGCCTGAAACTTAGGGCTATTCCCGGGCCTGCAGACCCCATGATGGTTCAACTCGAAAGCCTGACATCCGGGGCCCACAAGCCCTGCATCGTTTCAGCCTAAAAAAGGCCTGAGCCTTTTCAGCCTGAAACTGAGGGCTATTTCCGGGCCTACTGGCCCCATGACGGTTCAACCCAAAAGCCTGACATCCGGGGCCCACGGGCCTTGCATTGTTTCAGCCTAAAAAAAGGCCTGATCCTTTTTAGCCTGAAACTGAGGACTATTCTCGGACCCTCGTCAGACCGACCTGCCCTGAAACAAGCACAGTCGGGCATGAGCAGGAGTGACATGCCCGAAAGCTTCCTCAGGGGCTAGCACGTCCAGGCATTGGCAGGAGTGACCTGCCCTGAAGCTTCCTCAGGGGCTAGCACGTGCAGGCATTGGCAAGAGCAGCCTCCTGGACGGGCCAGCACTATATACGACTCGCCCACCCTACAGGTTGGGTCAAACGAGAGGAGACTGCCCAGGCACTCGATGTGCACTTCTGCAGGAGGTAGTGGTCTTCAGGATTCGGCTGCAATAGTAGAGTAGCGTTAGCAGTAGTCTTCAACGTTAGGCGCTAGTAGCAGTAGGCTAGAGTAGTGGAGAGAGGAGGCTGGCGGAGGCCAGGGATACTTACGTGTGGCGCCATAGCTCCAGCTTCGTCTTCAAGGTACCTGCAGCAGGACGCCACCTTCAGGGTGACTTACCTGTGGCGCCATAGCTCCAACTCGTCATTGAGGTACCTGCAGCACAGTGTCACCATCACAGGTTAGTACCTGGCCCCGGAGAGAGAGAGAGAGAGTTCTTCTTCTTCCTCTTCTCAGTCCACCATCTCCCTCCCTATCCTCTCACTGTCTGACTTCACTGCTTCGGCAGACTACGAGAGTGAGAGTGGTTACTTGCAGAGGTTACAGGCGGGGATTGTCACGTGCATTGGGCCCAGGATCTGGTTCGACATTTTTGGGCAGACATTGGTTGGACTTCGGCCAGGGACTATTCCGAACTCCGCTATTGCGATCTTGAGTCTTCTCCCTTGCCTCCATCTTCGTCCTTCCCTCCCCCTCCATCTCTCATCCGTGGTATCTCCCCATGTGTGTATGCAGGAGGGACCTTCGTCTATGCATGCGGTCCCTCCTCTCACTCTCACATATGTGATGTATGATGGAATGTCGTAACAGTCCAGGTCAGGTCAGGACTTATCTCAAAGTCTTCCGCTGTGCTATCAAATGTCAGTTTTCATGTATCGGGATGTACATTGTCTTTTGATGTTTCACTAACAGTACATTGTCGATTCAGTCCTTTTCATCACATTGCGGATCCTTCGCTGAATACATAGCCCAACTTGGCATGTAACAGTTGGTATCGGAGTTGCGCACGTGAATCAGGACTACCTGATCTGACACGTGTACGGGGAGTTAGCTGGTGAAGAAGACTCGACTGACTTATTGGTGGGTTGAGCACACTAGTTAATCCCCGAAATCACGATTTTGACCCAACTGCCAAAAATCGATTTATTTATTTTTTCAGGATTTCGTTTTTCCATGATTTCTGATTGTGGAAAAATCGCAGTAGCACAACTTCTGAAATTTCTGTTGTCTTGGTTTCTGAAAAGTCAAAATTTCGTTGTTGGAAATCCAGAATATCTCTTTTTGAAAATCTCGATTTTGCAGATTCCCGTACTTAAAAAATTCGGAATATCTGTTTCGAAGTTCGTTTTTTTTCAAAACGGTACGGGAAATCTCTCTCGCAGTGCTACTTTCCAAGCTGCGCATACTCTCATTAAAGCAAATCCGAATCTTTTTTTTGTAATCATTTGCAGTCTGGAAGTCGAAATTTTTTCAGATGTATCTCGTACTTTGGGGATTGGGGGAGCTTGCTGAACTTGCAAACAAATATTTTTCTCTTTTTTTTTTGTCCCCTTGCAAAGTTCAAACTTTTCTGTTTTGATTAGCGACTCCTTGTCTGGGCGATCTACCCCACCCACCCTCCCTATCTACGTTGTTTGCCACCTCTGATCTCATCTTCTTCATCCATTCCGGGTATTCCCTGTGGTGGCGTTGGTAAGTTGCCACGTCAGCAGACCACGTCAGCAGGACACGTCAACAGACCACGTCAGCAGGACACGTCAGCAGACCACGTCAGCAGGACACGTCAGCAGACCACGTCAGCAGGACACGTCAGCAGACCACGTCAACAGACCACATCAGCAGGCCACGTCAGCAGGCCACGTCAACAGGGAGTGCCACGTCAGCCACCCGGGCCTGTTTATGCTGACTCGCTCGCAGACAGCCGTCATGGACCAGAAACCGGGGGAAATGGCGGAGGCGTATCAGGACCGCATGCTGGCTTTGATCATAGAAGCCAAGCAGCGGGCGGATGCAGTAGCAGCCGCAAAGAAGAAGAAGGCGGAGGATGCCGAGCAGGCATGGCTGCTAGCTCTTGAACAGCAGCGTCTGCAGGCCGAGGCAGCAGCGAAGGTTGCAGATGAAGAACGATTGAAGCGGCGTGAGAAGATTTTTAGCGGGGAGCAAGCATTACTCACATTGGCAGTGGAATGGCGAACTGAGGCGGAGACAGGGAAGATGGAGGAGAGTGAGAACAAGATTGCCCTCCTCCTTTCCCATCTCATGGACCTCCTGGCGACATGCATCGCGTAGCAGGAGGACATTCACAGCCTCGATGCCGAAGTCAAGAGTGTTCGCAGCCGCGTACAGCAGCTGGAGCAACGACCCGCCGCCGCCCCTGTGGCAAGCTCCTCCAACACATTAGACCGCCTCAACGCATTGGAGACTGACGTCAGCGCACTCAAGGACTGCGCACGACTACAACAAACCGCTACTCAACAATTGGAGCAGCGGGTCTGTGCTGCCGCCACCAGCCCGAGTTCGGGACAGTGCGAGTCAACTCCCAAGTTTGACGGTCAGGAGATCTTCTGCGATTCAACAAAGATGGATCCAATTCAGTGGTTCCGCAAGTTTGAACTCACGTTGCATCTGCATCTCGTCAGCGAATGCAAGCACCACACGTACTTATACTCCCGGTCGGGAGGCGCATGCCAGGCATGGCTGGACAATCTCTTGTCCCAGTACGGGGTGGTCGCTGCCGAGTTACACACGAAAATCAGCTGGGAAGACCTCAAGGTGGCGTGGCACAAGCGGTTCCAAGTGGAGCCGTCGGAGATCAAGGCCATGGACAAGCTCATGACCTTCGAGCAAGGCTCGCTGCCAAGCGTCGACTGGATTGTCGAGTACCAACGCTTGACACCCGTCCCAGGTCTCCCGATAGGCTTCAAAGCCATCAAGCACTACTTCATTTCAAGGTTGTGCCCGATGTTGAGCAACGCCTTGACGCATGTTGAGGACATACTGACAACGACGGTGCAACTGTTCGATAAGGCCCCGCATATTATCGTCACAAACAAGGAGGCGAAGAACCTCACTCGTGCTGCGGCAGGCTCGAGCAAGGACCAGCATCGGCCCAAGGTGGCCGTGGTTGAGGCGGCATCGCCAAGCAACCAATCTAGCGAGGCGGAGTCTGCCAATGAAGGAGACAGACTCGCAGCTGCCCGGGATGGTGGCCGCCCCGGCCGAGGCCGAGGACGCGGCAAATCGAAGACAAACACCACATCAAACCCCGGGCCCGGCGCAGCAGCTCAGGGGCCCTGGACCCCTTACGGTCTTTCGGAGCAAGCTTACAAGCAACGCCCGAAATACCGTTACTACTTGTGGTGCAACAGCGACTGTCACGAGACAGCGGGCTGCCCTACCAAGGGGAAGGGCAAGCAGGAAAACTGAGCGCCGCCGAGAGTGCGTCGATGACACTCTCGACGCCTTCGGACCCGGTTTCTTCGCGAGTGAGCGACCTTCATTTTGGGGCGCATGTAGAAGTCGATAGTCCTCTTCTTTATTCTTTTGAGGACTATGCTGCCCGGCTCGTTCCGACGCTGGGATCTTTTGATCAAGGACAAGACGTGTGTGCGGCATCTTCTCCGTCCGGCAACGGTTCTTCTTCGTCTTCAAGTGGTTCTTCACGGGATTCGGCGCGCAAGTTCAACATAGAGGAATTGAACCCTCTCACGTCTGAGGATTTCGCATGGCTTCCTCTCCCGACCACGGGCCGCTTGCCGCGACCACAATGCGCAGCACTCTGCGCCCATCTTCACAAGTACTTGTCCTTCTATGCACCACCAACTTCGCCGACGGATGACGAGGTCGTGGTGGGGGACATGTTGGCATATGTTACCAAGGTGGCCCGCGAGTTTCGCACGCAGCGGTACGACGACAATAACGCACCGCTGATGTATGTCCGCATCCAAGTTGGGCAAGCGTCCTGCAGCGCTTTGCTGGATAGCGGCGCGACTCGCAACTTCATGAGGCAAGCCTTTATGCAAAGGGCTGGCCTCGGCGCGCAGGTTCGAAGGAAGGTAAACCCGACGGCGATCAAGTTGGCGGATGGAAAGACGCAGCAACTTCTCGACCGTTACATCGAGGCTGTACCGGTGTACTTCGCACCTCATGCATGCGAATCACACCGTCAACTTTCACCAGCGGGCTCTCACCGTTCGCGACGCCCTCGACGCCGAGGTGCCGTGTACTATTCCTCTTCCGCACCCTTCGATCCGGTGCCAAGTCGTGACGGCCAAATCGTTACGGGCTACATGTGCATATGAGTAACCCGACGAGATAGGCCTATAGGGAGTATCATGCTTCCAGGACAAGATCGTACAAGAAGTTCTTAGAATGATCTTAGAACCTATTTATGAACCCCGCTTTTCCACTTATTCACATGGCTTCAGACCGGGACGTAGTGCTCACACGGCCCTTAATGTTATAATGGGTACCTTTCATGGTGCGCAATGGTATATTGAAGGATCCCTGGAGGCCGAAGGCCCTGGAGCCGTAAATCATGGAACTCTGTATAAGATCATCCGGCGAACAATCCGAGATAAACGGATTCTCAAACTAATCCGCTCTGGACTACAAGCTTGATCCTAAAGAAATTCCATTACCTCATGAATTGGTCAGCATACTCAGATTTTCTAACTTTAGAATATCAAAAATGTATATAATAAATATAATAAAGTAAATAATTAAGTCTGTCTCTTATACACATCTTTAATATAGAGAATCTATTAGAATATCAAAAATGTATATAATAAATATAATAAAGTAAATAATTAAGTAACTATTTATTATTATTTGCTATTATAATTCTGATCAATAATCATAAATATCATATATTGATTCTATAAAATATATATTCTTGAATTAGAGTATATATACTATGTATAATTAGTTTTTAATTAATTGATTAAAGAAGTAGAATTACTATTCAATACAATCAATATTCTTTTCTCTATCATTTCATTCTGTAAATTTCATTTACTATAATGGTTTATTGAATTGCAAGTAGTATGAAAATAAAAGATGAATTAGTCATTACTAATTCATCAATGAATTACCCTTGTCTTTGTTTATGTTTTGGATTAGAACATATTATCATCACTTTTCTTCGTCTTCTAATAAGTCTACAATGTTCACATATTTTTCGAACGGATGCACGTACTTTCATTCGTCAATATCCTCCAATATCTTAAATTGAAATGTTTCAAAAAAAAACAAAATCATCCTCATTTTTTTTCATCTAAATTTATAATCAATTATATGTTGATATTTATTGAATATAATAGAGAATATTGTTTAAAATCAAGAATATAAATAATAAAAATAGCTAAATAAAAAATAATAATTATAAAAATAGATTTCTAAAACCGTCGCGGTAGCCGACTCTTCACCATCGGACTTGTCTTCGGACCCCCGTGTGGTACGGCTGCTTGACGAGTTCGCCGACATCTTCGAGTCACCTACCGGTGTGGTGCCGGGTCGGCCGATCTCTCACGAGATCATTCTTGAGGCCGGTGCCATGCCGGCGAAAGGTTGCATCTATCGGATGAGCGAGGAGGAGCTTGAGGTACTCCGCGCACAGCTCGATGATTTGTTGGCCAAGGGCTGGATCCGCCCGAGTAGCTCCCCATATGGAGCACCGGTTCTCTTCGTAAGGAAGAAAAAAAGATCTGCGTCTGTGCATCGACTACCGCAAGCTCAACGCTCAAACTGTGAAGAATGCGGGGCCTCTTCCTCGTATTGACGACCTTCTTGAGCGATTGGGCGGTGCTAAGTTCTTTTCCAAGCTGGACTTGAAGTCGGGGTATCATCAGATTTCGATACGCCCAAATGATTGCTACAAAACCGTATTCAAGACACGGTATGGGCATTTTGAGTGGGTGGTAATGCCTTTTGGCCTCACCAATGCCCTGGCAACCTTCCAAGCGGCAATGACCAATGAGTTTCGTGCGATGCTGGATCGGTTTGTGCTGGTCTACTTAGACGACATTCTCGTCTATAGTCGGACCTTGGAGGATGAGCATCTTCGACGAGTGTTGGAGACGCACCGTCGTGCCAAGTACAAAGCCAACCGCGACAAGTGTGAGTTCGTCCGGCAAGAGTTTGAGTACTTGGGCCATTTTGTCACACCGGAGGGCATCAGCCCCGGAGAAAATTCAAGCCATCCAGGAGTGGCCGGAACCGCGTAACGTCACGGATGTCCGTTCGTTTTTTGGTCTTGCCGGCTACTATCAGCGCTTCATCAAGGGCTATTCGAAGATCGCGGCCCATTTGACCAAGCTTCAATGCGAGGATCGACCGTTTGACTTCGACGAGGATGCGCGGGAATCCTTCTTGGCTCTTAAAGCTGCACTTTTGTCAGCGGAGGTCTTGCGGACCTACGACCCGCTATTGCCCACACGCGTCACTACTGATGCATCCGGCTATGACATTGGTGCAGTCCTCGAACAACACGATGGCGTGGACTGGCACCCGATCGAGTATTTCAGCAAGAAAGTGTCCGCCGTGCACTCTATTGATGATGCACGAAAGAAGGAGTTATTGGCATTTGTACACGCACTCAAGCGCTGGCGGCATTTCCTTCTTGGTCGACTGCAGTTCCGATGGGTAACAGACAACAACCTGTTGGTCTTTTACAAGACCCAGGACACAGTCAACAGCACCATTGCCCGCTGGATGGCCTTCATTGACCAGTTTGACTTTTTCCCCGATCACATTCCGGGCAAGTCCAACCGTTTTGCGGATGCTCTCTCACGGCGTCCGGACTATTGCACCGCGGTCTACTCGACGTTCGAGATTGATGACGACTTGCGAGACTATTTCATCCGCGGCTACAAGGCCGACCCCGAGTTTCGCGACAAGTACGCGAATTGTTCCTCACCCAATCCGACACCTTCTCACTACCAGATCCATGAGGGATATTTGCTCGTCCACTCGCGGGGGAAGGATCTCCTTTGCGTACCGAGTGACCCTTACTTGCGTACGCGGCTTCTTGGCGAGTTCCACGATGCTCCCGCCATCGGACATTTTGGCGTCAATCGAACGATTGGCCGACTTCGCGAGCGATTTTGGTGGTCCGGTCTTCTCGACGACGTCACACGCTACTGCGAGTCATGCGAGATTTGCCGGCGTTGCAAATCCCGCAATCATCGTCCGTATGGCGAGTTGCGACCACTACCGGTTCCCTTGCGCCGAAGGGAGGCGATTGCCATGGATATCACTGGACCATTCCCCAAGCACAAGACCGGTGTGGATGGGATTCTCACGGTAGTCGATCGACTCACCAAGTTTGCCATGTTTTTGCCTTGTCGCTATCATGCCAAGGCATCAAAATTGGCTGAGGTTCTCTACGCCGGTTGGATTCAAACCAAGGGTTACCCCAAGGATATCGTCTGCGACCGCAACACTTGGTTCATGTCTGATTTTTGGTTGGCACTCACCAAACGATGGGGCTCATCTCTCAAGCCTAGTTCAACTCACCACCCTCAGACGGATGGCCAGACGGAGAGGGCGCACCAGACGGCACAGGTCCCTCTTCGCACTCTCATCCGTCCCGATCAGAAGGATTGGGTTGAGCGGCTGCCGGATGTCGAATTGGCCTACAATTCGTCCATCCACCCGACTATCGGGATGTCGCCTTTCGAGTTTGAGCATGGCTCTCCGATCACTTCTCCACTGGACACCATCGTTCCACGCACGGCCTAGAGCGACGACCATCTCCTTTTCTTGCGCCAGATGCAAGAGTTTCTTGTCAAGGCACGCAATCAGATGGCGAAAACGAAGCAACGCATGAGCCAGCAGGCCAATCGCCAGCATCTTCCTTGTCCATTTCGCGCCGGCGACCTCGTGTGGGTTTCCGCCGCAGAATTCAGCCTTGAGCAGGATATCTCTCGGAAGCTCCTCCCGAAATGGATGGGCCCATGGCCGATTGTAGCACCTGCTGGGGATGCACCTGAGGGACCGTCCTTCACAGTTCAGGTGCCCGCCCACTTGCCCGTCTACCCGGTTTTCCATTGCTCCRAGTTGGCGCTGTACACACCAGCAGATCAGGATGACTTTCCCAGGCGACGATCTCAAGACCCACCCTCTATGGACGGCTTTCAGGAGGTCGGTGACATCATTTCCCAGCGACGCTACGACAACAAGCCGACCGAGTATCTGGTACACTTTGCGTATTGCACCCACCGGGCCGACCGCTGGTTGACCCGTGCGGAACTCCAAGCGACAGCTCCAGATGTTCTCGTACGGTATGAACGAAAGATGCAAGGCAAGCCGGCATCTTTGGCTCCACGCCGCAACCGCGTCCAGGTTCCACCTTCAGATCATCGGCTGCAACCCCGACCCCGCTTGGCTTCATAAGGAGGGGGGGGTGTTACATACTGCGCCTGCACACGAGGGCCATTTTCCAGGCCCTGCGTCGTTCAGGCTGGAAGCCTGAATTTCAGGCTCAAGGCCTGGAAATAAGGGCATGCAGACCCCAGGACGGTTCAACCCAAAAGCCGAACATCCGGGGCCCACAGGACTTGCATTGTTTTAGCCAAAAATAGGCCTGAGCCTTTTCAGCCTGAAACTGAGGGCTATTCCCGGGCCTGCAGACCCCATGACGGTTCAACTCGAAAGCCTGACATCCGGGGCCCACAGGCCTTACATCAGCCTAAAAAAGGCCTGAGCTTTTCAGCCTGAAACTGAGGGCTATTTCCGGGCCTACTAGCCCCATGATGTTTCAACCCAAAAGCCTGACATCCGGGGCCCACGGGCCCTGCATTGTTTCAGCCTAAAAAAAGGCCTGATCCTTTTTAGCTCGAAACTGAGGGCTATTCTCGGGCCCTCGTCAGACCGACCTGGCCTGAAACAAGCACAGTCGGGCATGAGCAGGAGTGACCTGCCCGGAAGCTTCCTCAGGGGCTAGCACGTCCAGGCATTGGCAGGAGTGACCTGCCCTGAAGCTTCCTCAGGGGCTARCACGTGCAGGCATTGGCAAGAGCAGCCTCCTGGACGGGCCAGCACTATATAMGACTSGCCCRCCCTACAGGTTGGGWCARACGAGAGGAGACTGCCCAGGCACTCGATGTGCAYTTCTGCAGGAGGTAGTRGTCTTCAGGATTCGGCTGCAATAGTAGAGTAGCGTTAGCAGTAGTCTTCARCGYTRGGCGCTAGTAGCAGTAGGCTAGAGTAGTGGAGAGAGGAGGCTGGCGGAGGCCARGGATACTTACSTGTGGCGCCATAGCTCCAGCTTCGTCTTCAAGGTACCTGCAGCAGGACGYCACCTTCAGGGTGACTTACCTGTGGCGCCATAGCTCCARCTCGTCATYGAGGTACCTGCAGCACAGYGTCAYCATCACAGGTTAGTACSTGGCYCCGGAGAGAGAGAGAGAGAGTTCTTCTTCTTCCTCTTCTCAGTCCACCATCTCCCTCCCTATCCYCTCACTGTCTGACTTCACTGCTTCGGCAGACTACGAGAGTGAGAGTGGTTACTTGCAGAGGTTAMAGGCGGGGATTGTCACGKGCRTTGGKCCCAGGATCTGGTTCGACATTTTTGGGCAGAYATTGGTTGGACTTCGGCCAGGRACTATTSCGAACTCCGCTATTGCGATCTTGAKTCTTCTCCCTTGYCTCCATCTTCGTCCTTCCCTCCCCCTCCATCTCTCATCCGTGGTATCTCCCCATGTGTGTATGCAGGAGGGACCTTCGTCTATGCATGCGGTCCCTCCTCTCCCTCTCACATGTGTGATGTATGATGGGATGTCGTAACAGTCCAGGTCAGGTCAGGACTTATCTCAAAGTCTTCTGCTGTGCTATCAAATGCCATTTTTCATGTATCGGAATGTACATTATCTGTTGATGTTTCACTAATAGTACATTGTCGATTCAGTCCTTTTCATCACATTGCGGATCCTTGGCTGAATACATAGCCCAACTTGGCATATGACACCAACCAACGAGGAGCTGTGACAAATTGTTTCGGAGTTTCACTGTCTCATCAGGAGGCTGAACCCTCGACAGTCTGCAGAGTCCCCTAACTGATTACACTAACTTCTGTAAGTGATAATCCACCTCAACCCTGGTCGTGGTTAAGCATCAACGACTGCCCGACAACTGATATATATAGTCATTGAAACTCCGACAAAACAATTTGTCACACCCACTGTTGTCCTCTTCTCCCTCTCTGCCTACGGTTTACGGGGCGGCTCTGTTTGACGATATATTCCAACCTGATGAGTCGGTGAAACTCTAACGAAACAGTTTGTCACAGCCCCTCGTTTGTTTAGAGCTGGGTGGTATATATAATCTATAATCCGAAAAGTTGCAAAAACATTTATGAACTGCACAAAACTATGTTGATCACCTTGACTACCTACCTACCACTTCTCCTAAGGGTTATACAGAGTACCCCTGCGAACATAGCTTTGTCGTCTCCCTCCAGCCATCAGAGGGGACGCATGTTGCCCCCCGCCCCAACCACGGTGGTCAAGGATGGGATGGCATCGCCGGTGAACATCGTTTGCTTTTTCTTCATAACATAGTTCTTTTTCGAATTTTTTTTTGCCAGGACCCTCCTCTCTCCTTGCACGGCCCAGCCGTCCGGGCCGGGAAAATCGGGTGATCTGGGCAGCCTGGCTGGTAGCCTAGCTTTTAATTCATTTTTGGCCCGGCCAGGCAGGTGGTCCGGGGCCACTCTAGTAACATAGAGACCAGCATCATAATCATGACAATTTCACGACGACTTGTTTTTTTCGCTAGCCTGAGCCGCTGCCCGGCTGCCCGGCTGCCCGGGCCCAGCCGGTTGGGCCCGGGGGTGTCCGCCCGGCGAAACCGTGCGACACAAAAACCCAGCAAGGGACTTTTTTTTTTTTTTTGGGAAGGKGGGGTTGTGATACACTACCATAGAGGACCCCGAATCTGCATTAAAAAATGATTTTTTTTTTTTTTTTTTTGGGGGGGGGTGTAGTGGGAAGGTAGCGGGAACATGCGCGCATACGTGTGCTCCAGATGGGGGAGTGGGAAGGTAACGGGAAGCGAGACGATCGGGGGGCCGGGGGGGGGAATGACATCGGGAGGGCGCAGGTGGGTGATCGGGAAGGTGAGCGCGTGTGGAGCACACGGGGCATGGCGGGGCCACGTGGGGGGGACCAGCGATTGGGCGCGATCCTGACAATTTGGGAGGGAGAGGAATGGAGCTCGAAACGGTTGCGAGGAATTAGAAGAAGTGAAAGGAAGTAATGATGAAAAGGAAAAAGAAGAAGAAGAAGAGAAGAAGAAGAAAACGAAAGAGGAAGAAGAAGCGACAACGAAGAAGAAGAAGAAGAAGTGACGATGAAAAAGAAAAAGAAATAGAGAGTGAAGAAGAGGAAGAAAAAGCAACAATGATGAAGAGGAAGTGACGTTGAAAAAGAAGAAGAAGAAGAAGAAAAAAAGAAGTGAAGAAGAAGATGATCTCTCTCTCTCTCTCTCTCTCTCTCTCTCTCTCTCTCTCTCTCTCTCTCTCTCTCTTCCCCCCCCCCCCAAGTCCCTTACCTTGTCGATAGCGGGCGTTGACGGGCGACGGTGGGGTCGGCGGGGTCACGCGCTCTGGCAGGCGTTGGCAGGTTCTGGCGGTGTCGAAGTTCCGCGTCGAAGTCCGGTGGAGCTACAGAACTGCAGGCCAGGGAATGAGGGCCCCCGTCTTCCCTCGAACAGAACACACCCTCATTTTGGCTGTATCTGGCCGGAAATATAACTCCTATACAATCATTTTCAGGGTGCATTATGTTCGGGGGAAGACAGTAGCAGGTACAACATGAGAATGGGGGAGGGAACGGGGGCCAGTAGTTCCCACCCTCACCGATTTGAAATTTGGCCATCTGGGCCGTCGACCTTTGCGATTGATGATCCAGATTGGGCACGATTTCCTATCAGTGAAATCCGGCCTGCCGCCCTCGTTTTGTTTTTTTTTTTCGTGGTCTGCATAGTCTGCCATGAGGGCTAAAAGGCCCCCAGCGCCAAAAAAAAATAAAATAAATTAACCTACACTGATGCACTGAGGGCGACCAGTGGCCAACCAGGGGTGACAATCCGCCAGGCGGCCCGCCCCCCCCCCCCCCCCCCC